GTGGGTTTCTTCACAGCCCTGAAGCTGAACCCAGAGGCCCAACAGAGGCAGAGATGGAGAACCCTGCAAGCTTTCTGTCCTGACTGGCACTTGATACTCTATCCTTTTCTAGACACCTCTTCATCACTACCTTCAAATTATAACTGTAATTCGGTCATAAATCCCTTTAGGTAAAGGGTTAAAGGGCCAGCAGATGGCATAGTCATTAGGGCAGCTGGATCCCACATGGCCAACCACTCAGTTCGAGTTCCAGATCCCTTGGCTTGAAAACATAACAGGCGCATGTGCATACATACCCAAAATCCCAAGAGGAAAGTGGAGGAGAAGGGATTGCAGAATGGTCATCTCCGTGGGAGATGCTTTCTCACTTTCTTCCTCTCTCTCTGAAGACCGCACACATCCTATAGCAAACTTCAAAACAAAACATCAGAGTTGACCTTTTTGGGTATCCATTTTGTTTTCAAGTGATAGCTTAGTGATCTTGTCAGAGAAATCACAATACTGAGTCAAGAATGGAGGTGAAATGTGCTTCACTCACACTCCTCAGCAATGAACAGGCAAGGAAATGCATGTGCAGTTACTGGAGTAAAATAATGAAGGATGTGTCATGTGATTCCTCCCTTCACATTTCCCAAATACTAGACTTTTATAGTCTTCTGGGGATGAAACAAAGTTCCATAGATTTATCAATGATTAGGTCTGGATAGGTAAATTTTATAGTTTTGCCCTCTAAATACAGCTTATCTTTTTTTCTATCCCCATATATAAACATGAGGTGATAAAATAATTTTATCATGGGAAATAAAGCAATACAAAAAGCATGTGCCGCGTAGAAAGCAGGGAATGTATTATTTAGGGTTAACTGGGGCAAGAGCAGTTGCATATTCGCACTGTTTAGTTCCTCTGGTTACATCTTTGGTTTAAAATTCTGCGTACATCTGACGGAGAGGTAACACAAAAATACAGGCAGAGATAGCTCTACCTATGAAACCATGTTGAGAGGGCACGGGGAACTGTTTTACCACAAAATGGGCTGTCAGGTTCTAGATGTGTCACTATTAGAAGTGCTGTGGGTGCCATGACTGGAGCAGGGAACTGATCATTTATTTGGTCTACGTATCTGACTTTAGCCCAGTCATCCTGCTGCTACAGTCTGGTTCTCTCACTTCCAAAAGATATTTACTGATATTTCACCTGTGTGCATCTCATTCTGCTGCTTTGTCCACTGCAGTAGCCTCTGCATAGTTTTCCCTGGTCATAGTTGTTTTGTTTTTGCCCCAGGATGCAGTGTAACATTGCATCAGAGAGCATGACTTTTAATAATCTCAACCCACACTCTGATGTCAAAGTATTTTTGTTCCTTCTCAGGAGCATTATGCTCTTCTACCAGCCGTCACCAAGCCAGGCAAACACACGATTTTGCAGTGATGTCGGGAGTATACACTTTTATTTTTCAGTAGTGTTTATATTCTAAAGGTCAGGTGTGATGTCACGTTCTTAGTCATTAGCTATCTACGTATGGCTGAGTGTGTAACTGCCAAGTCATTGCCAGTATCCCTTTCCTAAACTCAGCACAAGGATGACAAGTAGTTGGCCTTTGTAAACATGCATAGCCAGATGGTAAAGGGCTACCTTGGGACAAGCACAGAGTTCATCCGGAAATAGCGTATTTACCATTGTCACAGCATAAGATCGTGGCAGGAACTGTGATAATGAAAATAATAGAAAATTTTTCAATGAATTTTAGTTATTTGATACATGTAAACATTCTTCCCCTCAAGAGAAATACTTACTATTTTTCTTCTCTTTCTCCTTTCTCTCTTATTTATGTAAGATATTCATAAGACAGTCCCACTGCTGGGAAGTGGAAGGGAGGAATGAGGGGATTTATAATACTGTTTTCTACTCAGAAATACAAAAGGGAAGGTACCATTCACAATTCCGTAACCATGTATATAGAGTACTATGATGGACTGTAAGTTGAAATTTTAAAAAGAAAATACAAAATGTTCTTTAGACAAACACAAATCCCTTTCTTCCAGCCAAGCATTTTTCTTTTATTAATCTTTTTAGCAATCCTATTAAGCACTCTTATTTTATGGGAAATCAAGGCACAAAGAAGTAATCTTCCCAAAGTACCAGAGCTGTTAAGTGGGGAAACCGAGATACAAACCCATGCAGTATGACTTCAGACCCTGCACTCTCAACCCGTGTACTGCCTGGGATGAGATCCCAGGATAATGCAGAGCACTGTGTGATGATAGTTTCAAGGGAAGTGAAATGGAGTTGAGAGGAGAGCAGAAGTATTTCAGAAGGTGAATGAATAGCATCTGCAGTAGCAATAGGGGCTGAGTGGACTGTGGAGGTGGATATCAGAAGGGAGAGTTTGCCTTCACATAGAGGACACGGCATGAGTAAAAGATTATATACAGGAATATAAGATAAGGCATGCTACAGCCAGATTTTGCAAGTACTTCTTTATTTTTTTAGTGATGGTGGTAGCCAAAACAGTGCTTTAGAGAGCTTAACTTAATGGAATATTTTGACAAAAAGAGCAGGAAAACCATCAGACTGTATTCATTTTCTTGCAACACATATTTATTTTAGACAGTTTCTGTGGGTCAGGAGTCTAAGCACAGTTTAGCTGAGTCCTCTGCTTAGGGTCTCCAAGGCTACAAAGTATGGACCAGAGCTGTGGTTTTATCTGAGGCTTGACCAGGAAAAGATTTGCCTTTTTTTTTTTTTTTAAAAAAAAACGGGAGAATGCAGGAAATTGGTGTCTGTGGGTCAGGAGTCTAAGCACAGTTTAGCTGAGTCCTCTGCTTAGGGTCTCCAAGGCTACAAAGTATGGACCAGAGCTGTGGTTTTATCTGAGGCTTGACCAGGAAAAGATTTGCCTTTTTTTTTTTTTTTTAAAAAAAAAGGGCAGAATGCAGTAACTTGTGGTTTTATACCAAGGGTTTAAGCTTCTTGCCACCTCATTTTCTTCTGTAGGCCCCCCAACAGAGACATTTCGTGACATGGCAACTTGCCTCTCCAAAATCAGCAAAGGAAGGAGACACTGCAGCTAAATAGCATTATAATCGTAGGTACCCAATCTCATATGCACTGTTGTTCTATGAGTGAGAAGCAAGTCACAGGTCACTCCCACACTCAAGGGAAGAGGACTACACAACCGTACAAACACCAGGAAACAGATATTGGGATACCCTAGAGTCTGTCATGCAGATGTGAGATAAACACTCAGAATCTAAATTAGGATGGTATTACTGCAAATAAGAGTCAGAGTCAATAAATTATGCCTAGGAATACACTTATACTCTCTTGCCTGTGCCATGTGAGATTCTTCATTTATATCTCACATAAACATCAAAATATTTGAGGTAGGTGTCAGGTCACACCACGTCCTAGCTTCACATCTGGTATCCCAACCTAGAATTGAACCTAGAATGTCAGTGCCAGAGATTATAATCCTGGCCCCACTGCTTGACTTGTACCTGAAAATACAGAGGGTCTAAGAAAAATGGGTAAGAAAACACTGGTCCAAGATTATAAACCATTTCAGTTTGGGGAATGGTGGTGCTAAGAAAGAAATGCCCCTAGGAAAGTAATACTTACTGTACATACAGCACAGGCCCAGCAGTATGATAAGCACTCAGGATGCAGATACAGCTTACTATTGTGGATGGACATACTTGCTACTCCCAGCAGCCTGTGATAGTTGTGATACAGTCACATCAAGAAACAAGACTGCACCAGTGCCCACTAAATTGAAGGTTCTCCACCTGAAGAAATGGTTATTTGTTCATAGCTGTTATCCCTAATGCCTTAACACATAAAAAGTACTCATATAAACTTCTGAATGAATAATCACAGCTAGTAAGTAGGGTCAGAACAACCCCACTCCAGTTTCTTAAAGACAGTGCATTCCATTGTGAGCCATATTATGTTAGAGTTCATTGTAGGCTGTCTAAACGTAGGTGTTCAATGGATGCCTACATTCCATCATCTGGGCTTGAGAAAAAGGTCAAGGCTAGAAAAATCTATCAAGAAGCACCCATATGAAGATTATTTTGAAAGTGATTATCAGCCCCAAATAGCACCTTTTGTACACCTGTGTTTGGAAGTTAAAAAGGTGAAGTATTTAAAAACAAAGAGCGGCCAACAGGTGGCGTGGTGGTTAAGGGTGCTGGACTCCCACATGACTAACTGTAGTTGCAGTCCTGGACTTGTCAGCTTGCCTTCTCACTTTCTCTCTCACTCTGTCCCTGTCCAGTCAAATTAAAATAAATCTTTTTTAAAAAAGACATACAGGTCAGATATAGATATAAGAGGGAAGAGAAGAAAGATAGATCATCAGTCTTATCAACCACTACACAGTAATCAAAGGGCAACAAGTTTAAGACAAGGTAACTCAATTTGGGAATTAGGAAATCAGTGATGACTTCAGAATGCAACAATTTAGGTAAAAAGAACCTAAGAAAGAGCTGATATCTGGGAGGGTCATCTGGAATAAGATATAATCTTGTTCACTGTCCTTTTTGCTACCCTCATTTGTATTACTGTTACAAATAACCCCTCTAATCCTTAAAATAGCCTCTAAGGTATTGTCCCCATTTTACATGTGAAAAAAATGTGGTTTGAAATTTGAATCTCGTGACTGCAAATTCCTAAGTCTTTCCACCAGGACACACTGACTCTCAGTGGTCTTGAATGTTACTGCAGCTTCCAAGGGCGATTTAGAAGTCGAGTTTAACCTATGAAATGAACACAAAACACAGTGGATATTTTATAATGCTCTTAAATTATACTTAGCCCTAGAAAGTTCTGTGTGAGCTTACTAATTTAATACTGGATATTTAATTCTATTTTTTAAGAAAAACATTTGGAATTGTTTCTCTTAAGATGTTTAGGAATTTCCAAATACATCCAAGATGATCACATTGAATTTCTGCAACTATACTGTAAAACAGTAATACTTACATTGCATTGTTTTTCAGGTGTGAAAATGAAACCAAGTTCAAAACAGAAGAAGTATTTTGGGCTTACAATTTCTGCCCTACTCCATATTCCTGGACTGCACTCCTGGGCCTTATTTTATATCTTGTTTTCTTTGCACCTGGTAAACCAAAGCTTTGTTCTTATTGTTTATTAAATTGTCTCTTTATAGATGAGCTATTATTTTTCAAATTCCTTACATGTTATTTTACTGAAGTTATTTTTTCTCTCTCAGGAATGGGACCAATGCCTTGGACTGTGAATTCTGAAATATATCCCCTTTGGGCAAGAAGTACAGGAAATGCATGTTCATCTGGAATAAACTGGATTTTCAATGTTCTGGTCTCATTGACATTTCTACATACAGCAGAGTATCTTACATACTATGGTAAGAGAATAATTTTGTTTGCATTTTTTCTACTCTCATTTGTGACTGAAAGGTTATATTTTTATTATTATAAATGTCTCCATATGGCTTTTGTTCCCCAAAGGCTAAGAAGGTAGAAAGGTAAGGATTATACTTTCCTAAGCAGTATTGTTTTTGTCACTCAGTGCACTGTCACCCACTCTCCATCTGAACCCAGACATCTCCCAGCTGGATGTCGTCACAGCCAGGCTTTTAATTTAACAAAGAAACATCAACAACAAAATTGGTAGAAATATAGAGGCAGGGAGTCTACAAGTCTGTCTTGACAGGCTAGCCCAAGAGCAGAGTCAGTGCAGGGATGAAAGTCACCTACCCTAAGCCTTAAAGATGTGACATGCTGTGAGTCAAGCCTCCCACTGTATCCTCTGTGCTGTTCAGGCCAAGGTGTGTGCATTTCAGTGCCCTCTGAGACCAGCACTTACCATTTCCAAAACTGTAAATATGACAAAAGAGACCAAGGAAAAAATGTGTGAAGAGCTTAATTCAAAGAAAACAATATTGGGAAGTGGCTGAGTCAGGAAAACACTTGAAGCTACTTCAAATCCATTTTTACTAAAGCGAAATTATTATTATGTTTTTTTTTGGAGAGGTTTTCGCTATAGGGCGCATGTGCTCACCAGACAGACAGAGACATAGAGACAGAAAGCGAGAAATCACCCCCCAGAGGGGATGGTCATGCCGCAATCCCTTCTCCTCTCAGGATCTTGGGCACACATGCACACGCGCCCAGTGTGTTTTAAGCCACCGGCTCCGGGACGCAAACCACAGTCGACCACGTGGAAGTCCAGTGACATAGCCATTACGCTAACTGCTGGTTCCCATAACTTTATTCCTTTTAGAAGGACGATTTCTGCTTTGGCTACAGGACTTTATAGATTGTGCTAGGATGCTAAATGATGAAATGTAAAGTTTGGATTCTAAGTTCTGTAAGTCTCTGCACTGTATATGGAATGCCTACTGCTTAGACCATAGTCCTAGAAGATCTTCTGATCCCCTCCCCTGCCTCACTTCACTGCATGCTCTAGGCAATTATGACCCCTCGTTTTGTAAGAAAACACTTACTTGTCCACCCTCTAGTTCCCACTACTGGACCATAAATCCAAGAAGAGCAGGACAAAATCTTTTTTACCACCCTGTTTCTGGTACCTTCCAGGGCATCTTTTTTGCCTGATGATGAACATGAGGAAACAGTATAAAAATCTATTTTCCCTCTCTTCTGACTATGCCACATTGGCATTTACCATGTATCTAATGTTTACTATCTTTATAAAATTCTTCTGATCACCAATAAAAACATTTAAATATTTTCTTGGACAGGAAATGCACTAACATTTTTAAATGGATACATATTTAGTATATTATCTTCATGGCATGATAAATATGAGTGCACTAAATATTTACTCGTATTGCTGATTCTTGAGAATGCTCAAATATTTGAAGACCTACACATACACTAACATCCTGAGAAAGCATTTTTTTATAGAAAGTCATAGACCAGATATTAAAAATTTACATGGTACTCTTGATATCAAAGCTCTATCTTGAATTTGTACTGCCAGAAAAGCATGAGGCAACAGAAATGAAAATTGAATGGGGCATAATTAGCTTCTTAAAAAAAAATGCCCACTTAGCAGCTTTCTGGTCTACATTAAGCTTCTCTTGGATCAGTGCCCCAGTCCCTTTGGTCTCCTACTCCCCTACTCCCTAATAGTGGAAAACACTGCAATTCAGGTTTTTTTTTTTTTCCTTTTTTGTATGATGTTTCAATCTATATGTTTTAGACTACATAATTTATGTAAGCTATATGTGTTTATATTCCTGATCTAACAAATGCAAGGATACATCAAAAAGTTTATAGTAAATAGAATTAATTTGGTGCCCCCCAAAAAAGGTTCATTTTTCCATTAACCTTTTGAAGATTCCCCTCATATCCATCCTAATTGTATTTTTTTTTTCTGGAAATATCCATGTCTTTTGTTTCTTCCCTAAATCATACCCTATTAATGATTATTATTAAATGTTGTTAAAATATCACCAACATACCTTTTTTTATGTAGATTATGTGGCTAGTAGCTCCTTGGGGAGCTTATATCAAAATTCCTATTGAGGTATTGAAATTCAATCAAACGTAGTAATATAAATTGAAGAAATAAACACTATCTTAAAGACTCATTACAGACTTTTTTCTCAAAGTTTTCTTTTTCAGAGATTTTTGTTATAGGGTGTGTGCACTCACCGGAGAGAGAGAAAGTGAGAAATCACCCCCGGGAGGATGGTCACACTGCAATCCCTTCTCCATTCTCCTAGGATGTTGGCCACACACATATGCCTGTTATGAGTTTTAAGCCACCAGCTCCAGGACTGCGGTCAATCACGTTGGAGTCCAACAACATAAACATTACACCATCTGCTGGTCCCAACTTTCATTTTCATTCCAAGGGCAAATAATTGAAAAAGTGAGTTACACTGATTTGACCATGGCACAGAGCAGATCATAGTCTCCAGGCCTGCCTACTCTCCTCTGTGCCTTACCCAGAGGTCTTGCCAGTAGAATCTACACTTAGCAGGAAGTTTTTGCCAGTTGTCACCTTTGGGAATCTGGGATACGAATGAGAATCCGTATCACTTTTAAGAAACTTCCTCATTCATCTACTATAGGAACTGATCACAGCCACAATTTTGTTCCCAAACTGGAAAATGATGGTTTTAATTTTTTTTTTTACCATCTGTATTTATTCTCTTGTATCATCATGATTACCATCCCTTGTTTTTCCCCACTAAAAAGATTTCATTTTTGTTCCTCTGATCTGAATACAGATAAGCAAAATTGTGAGGTTAGCACTTTACCACCTTTCACAATTTGTCAAAATTCCCACATTGTCCTAGAGAAGCTTGTCAGTATCACTCTTCTCATAAGCACACTCCCAATTAGCCAGAGTCATCTTGTTCTGTCTGCAGTAGTGACTCTTCTTCTCTAGCCATTTAGTGGAATTTATTATAGTAATGTTGCCTATCACACTTTTGAGCAACTACTATCCAAAATTCTAATGTGCTTGTAACATAATTTCTATTATTTTCTTTGGCAAACCAGGCATTATTTTCCCTATTTCAAACTGAGCTCAAGATGATTTAAAAACACTCTGTATAAGGACTCAGACTGGGTCATATGACTTTCAGACTACTGTTCTGCCAGAGCCCTAGTCTTCCTCTTACTGTGTCACTCAGCAGTACATGCCAAATGACCTGGGTGATTGAGCTAGTACAGCCACTCCTCACCTGTCTGTCTGCTTAACCACCACTGAGCCTTAGGACTACTTCTCTAGGATGGAGAATTTCCTTTCTCGGTTTTTGAGAAAGGAAAGATACTACACTAAGGTTATATTCACTGCGTGAAGCATTCTTAGTCAAGCAAGAGTATATATTTCATTTATAAATGTATATTATTGCGTTATATCTTGTCACTGTCTGGTCTTAGCTAATGTTTGCTTTTTAAATAGCTAGAATTACCAATACATATCCTATGGCACCACACAACACCAGACATCCACCTTGAAGCCTCTTACTTATCAACCAGTTGTGGGAATGGAATTTAGTTGTTCAGTGAGGAATGCTTGTATTATTCTTGAGAAATAATTTTTTAAAAGAGATTTTTGCTATAGAGCACATACACTTGCTAGAGACAGAAAGTGGAAAATCATCCCCCCCAGTGTGGATGGCCATGTTGTAATCACTTCTCCCAGGATCTTGGGCATGTACACACATGTGCCCGACATAATTTTGAAGCCATAGGGTCTGGAACCCAAACTGCAGTTGGCCATGTGGGAGTCTAGCAACATAACTGCTATATAACCTGCTGGCCCCCAAGAGTTGCATATTTATTTTTAAAAATCTGATTTGTAGTTGAGTGGCTCTGATTATTTAATCTAACAAATTATGTCTTGATTTAGTTAACTCTTCAATGTTTTTTCTTATATCGTGTAACTTACCTCTGTTGCTCTTCTCCTTTCTCACAGTTCCTCAATATATAGAGCAGGTTCTTTTGAGTGACCTACTCAGCAGCATTTTTCTTTAGTTTTCCTTGAGCCTTCTCCAGACATGTTTCTGTAGGTATTCTGGAAATAGTTACTTGTTAAAGTTATCTTACTATATTTTATCCTTCCTGTGATGATACAGCAAAATCGAGAAATGTGATTCTGTTTTTTAACTTCTGTGCTTACTCAGCTTAAAGCTTGACTTTGAACTAAGTCCTTATGTTGTCTAGTTTACCCCTTTATTTCAGATCTGCTTCCCAATGGATTCCATCTGGCAGTCAGCAAGAGCACATTCATTCTCTAGACCTGCCAGTGTGTCAGGCACTGTGCAGGGACTGGGAATCAAGAGAAGCTATAGACTGCACCCTCAGGGAGGCCACTTAGCCACTGAAACAGAAGAGCAGGTCTCTCTCTCTCTCTTAAGCATCTTTTCTATACTTGCTCATGATTTTCATTTTAAGATTTATGGAATCACATTTACAAGAGCTGAGAAACCAGGTCCAAAGAGGAGATTAAATAACTATCTAAAAGTCACATGGTCAACACTTAAACCCAGATCTTCCACTTTCATTTGTCATGTCAGTTTTACATCTTCCTTCCTCCCACTCCTATCTAGAAGATGATTTGGCCTAAAGGTCTAAAATTAAACAGAGATTCCTTTGATTGTTTTCTACCATCAAAAGTAAAATATCTTACACTAAATTAGGAATTAGATTATAAAGTAACAACTATGTTGGAAATACAAGTCACATTCACATATCTCATCCATCCTTGCTTGCTGGGTTGACATTCAGAAAACACAACCACATCTTTGTGACTGAACAACAGTGGTATACATAATCTTACAAGAAAACAAAATTCCCTGACCTCCTAGAGCTTACATTTTAGTAAAGGATTTCCAAGCCTACTGGATGTTGGGTGGAAGAGTTAGAGAAAAGATGAGTATAAACTCCTAGACTTTGGGGCATGAGAATGATGGAGTTGCCGTGTACTCATCTGAGGCATTGAATCTGCAATGACATCACTGTACTTGGTTCTGGAAATACAAGATAATACATTTCTCTGACCTCAAAGTGTCTCTAGTCTAGCAGAGACAAGATGGTCATGTACATAATAATTATCCTTCTTGGTCATTATGATAGGGGTCTCAACAAAGTGCTGTGAAAGCACATAGGTGACAATAATTCCCTCTTGCCAGGGAAGTGAGTCTTTAAAGCACAACTTGCTTCTCAAGTTTGGAAAAATAAACTGCATTATAGTCACAGGGTTAGAACAATTAGAGTAAGTTGGCAGTAATTTTTTGGTTGTATTTTATACCATGGGTATGCACCACTGACCAGGAAAAAAAAATGTCAAAATCAAGTACTCTTTCCACCCACACTTACATATGTTCATATACATACATACTGTTTTTCATTGCAGGAGCTTTTTTCCTCTATGCTGGATTTGCTGCTGTAGGACTCCTTTTCATCTATGGCTGTCTTCCTGAGACCAAAGGGAAAAAGTTAGAGGAAATTGAATCACTCTTTGACAACAGGCTATGTACATGTGGCACTTCAGATTCTGATGAAGGAAGATATATTGAATATATTCGGGTAAAGGGAAGTAACTATCATCTTTCTGACAATGATGCTTCTGATGTGGAGTAATTTCCATCTGCTGATATATTTGGTTGTTTAAACAAACTTGGGGGAGAAAAGCAAGATTGGTGACCTCACTGCCCTGCTTCTAATCTGGTTCCTTCCACAGTCTAGTTTTGAATGACTACTTGATTAAGAGAAAGATACAACCATGATGACATTTTCTTTCAAAGCAGAAATGTAAAAAAATATATATTTACAGAGATTTTAATAATTCTTGAGCAAATGTCTGTGATTCCTTCCTGAGATAGTCTAAAATGATATTGTACCCAGTGACTTCAGTGGTATCCTTTTCTCCTAAGACCATATATAATTATTAGTGGCAATAGAGTCAGTGCTAATATAGCCAAATTATACATGTATGATATATTTATAAAGGTTTCTGGGAGATGGATTAACAGTGTTAAGTCAATACATGGCGTATTGGTCCCAAATTTTCCAAAGGAGTAGTGGCTTTTCTGTGATCAGCTGTTAGAAAGTAAATTCCATTTTAAGCTTTCATCAGTGGATTTTAAAGTGCCTCCTACAAGGCCATACCTATCTTTATCTACTTTGGATTCCACATTTTGGGTTCTCTCTCAATTCAGAGTTCAGACACTGACACTGCATAGTATTTATGGAACATTATCAAAAGCAGATCTTTTAGGGGTTATTTTCATACTTTTTTTTGCATCAGAAGTAAGTATACATTTGCAAAGATAAGCTAGCAAATTTTGGTAGGTATATTTGATTGTCAGAAAGTAAAGATTTTTATGGAGCCCTAATTGGTATGCCATTATAAATACAAAACAGTGCCAGATCTTAAACTGAATTTCAGGATCTGCTTTTGTTCATGTCAAACTCACCGTACCTTCACCTATTGGCTCTGGAGTCCTACTGTTTTGTGCCTTCATTTGTGTGGTAGAGCTGCTGACAGGTCATTTCTTTCTTTCTTTTAATAAAACAATTTATGAAACAAAAAAGCGGGAAAAGAAATCACTGGCAGAAATAATCCTATTATTTAATTAAAATTACTTAACTTTTTACTAACTCTTCCTAAGGGAACTGTCACATTTTATTACACACCCAGTTGTCTTTTTTTTTTTTTAACTCTAAGAACATAAACTAGTTATTTTGCACACCTTTTATTTTCTCTAACAGTTTAAAAAATAATAATAATCATTCTTTTTCTCATGCTTGCCTTAGATTTTTTCTCAATTGAAACAGATTAAATAGTTCTAATATATAGCACATGCCTATAAGAAGTATTAACATACTACATTTCTACAGTATCTTTCCTAAGTCCTGATTGGTTTTTAATTTTTGCTCCTCTATTAAGAACTATATAATATGTACAAAGTTATCTGCTAGTTCTGGGAAAAATATGAATGAATCTTCTGTGGCCAGTAAGGAATACATCAATTTGATGCATTTTAAAATGGCTGTAAGTATCTACTAAGGTACTATGTATTTGGAATGAAAATGTTGCTGCCTATAAGTTCAATGTCTTTCTGCCAATTTCCAAAGTATTTTGTCCTTTTAAAGTCTGGCTTTTTCCTAAAGCAGAGAGTGCAGGCAAGGAAGTTAATTCTCTTAAATTATCAGAGGTACAATATGTACTTAAAAAGTCACTTTAGTGCCCTAAAAAAATCCTTCAGCCAAAATTTTTTTTCCTTCGGTCATTTCACACAAAGTAATTTTAGAGAGTTCATTCCCTTGTATTAGGTGCTCTGACCATTGAATTCTAAGGGGATATTAATATTGATTTTCCCCAGATAACGAGCTGTGAATAAAACATTTCTTATGGGATATGAAATATCAATAGGGTAATTATTTTCTCTGGATAATATTTTATACACATAAAGTAGAAGATGAGCTAGTGTGTGGTACAATCAGAATATGATGGGGAGAAAAAGAGACTAATAAAGTGCTCTCTAAAACTTTATTTTTCTGATTTATCCAAATAATTGCCTCAATTCTTCTCTTTATTGAATACATAGCCTTAACTATATACTTATATACTCAGCTGGGCTGATATACAGTAACTTTATTAAGAGAACAAATAGACTCTTATTATTTCCAAAAGCAGAACATGGCCTGTTCTCCCTGACATGAGAAAGTGTTCTCCACTTGATATCAACAAATGCACATAACAGGGAAAATTAGCCACAGTTCTCCTCCCCTATTCCCCTCAGCCCCTTCTGTAATGGACTATTTGTTATTTATATAGTAATAAAGTTAATATTCCATATCTTGGAAGTATAAGACAGAGAGAAACAGTATAAGAATTATTTATAACTTTTTAAAAACTACCTGAAAAGGAACCTTATACAATTAGGGTATTATTTTTAGATTTCATGAGTATTTATAGTATATTAAAAATTAAATATTTGAATTTTGCAGGTTTTTTAATATTATGCACCTTTTAAGTTCTCAGTGTCTTTGGCTACCACTATTAACTTGAAAACATTCCATTTGAAATATCATCAAATATATATTTGTAGGAAGATTTATATATGGTGTGATTTAACACACTATATTAAAATAGACACAGATTAATCATGCTTTGAACTGAAATTACAGGTTTCTTTCTAAACATGCTGCAAACTCAATAGAGGTACCTTATGTTTCAGAAAAGTATAGTGAAAAAAGTCATAATTCCTACTGAGGCTTTGCTGGGTGGCTGATCTGCACTAGATTTAAGAGAATATATCATTTTGTCTGTATATAAACAGAGTTGAATGTGATAGCAAACAGATTTGATGTTAATATTTTTTCTTTAATGTAAACATTCCTAAAAATTTTAATTGTTGCACCTAACAGTGAGTCATGACCCAAAACATGATTTTTAAAAATAAAAGATAATGTTTCCATTTAAAATTTTGTTCCCAGGCATATGCAGTAGTTGGTTCCCTGGTAGAAAAATTGCTGTGAGAATAATGCTACTCAGTGCTTTTTTCTCATTTAATTTTACCTCTGAACCCAATTATAATATATAGGAGCTTAAGTTTTTTTTTTTTTGAGTTATTCATTATCACATAGGAACTCAGTTTAAACAAGAAATTTATAAATTTGTTTTACTGAGATTTCATTACCTGTTACACAGGGGAAGAATAGTCAGGAACATTAATAGTTGAAAACTTACCCTTTTGCTGTTAGAGTAAAATTAAAAAGTATGACAGTGATCCATGTATCTTGGGTAGGCTGAGGGGAGTAAAAAATATTTTAGAAAACACTATCCACATGTTACTTAAAGTCACAGTTTAATGACAGTTATAACTTCTGTTATACAATGGAGAGGTGGAGGATTGTTTTGACTTTATTTCATTGGCATAATAATTAAGAACTATAAAATTTTGAGGTGTTTTGTTAAATTTTTTTTTACAAGATATCAAATATCTAAGTTCCTAAGAGCTGACTTTTACTGTGACAAGTTTTCAATTGCTAAAATCAGAACTTTTACTAACTAGGAATAGAAGAATAATATGACATACGAGGCCAAGAGTAATCATAGTATGTGTTTTACACCAAAATATATTAAATTATGTGTAAACTTTACAGCTCATATGTAGTTGCTGCCTACGAAAAGACTCAGAATTGTTCTCTGGATTAATTTTTACATCCTGTTTTCTGTCATTTCCTATCCATCTTCACAGCCTTATGTATACGAAAACTAATTTGATGGAGTGGTTCAGATTATAGCAGTGTATGAATTGTCAGTACATTCAGTTCTTCTACGTGAGCAATACTGCTGCTATTTTCTAGAAATAGCAATCATTTTAAAATGCCAAACTGTTACCAACTATTTTCTGTATATTGTCTCTTTAGAGGAAATTTTTGTGTGCCCAATAATCAAGTGTTTATATGAGAGTGTTGATGTTCAGAAGTAAATGAAAGTACTTTATCCTCATAATTTGCTTGAGTATAAAACTATAATCCCTATAAATCTTTGTATGTGTAAAACATAGTCTATTATACTTGGGTAATCTGACCTATGGAATTATCAATACTTTCATTTAGTAGAAATATTCAGACTTTTTTTTTAAGATGGTTAAGTTCATGTCACTTTGATTCTATCATATCAAAATAATGAGAAAAAGAAATAAACCATGCAGCTAACCAGTACTTAAATTTAAAAACCAATATATTACGAAGTTTTAAAATTTTAGCAAATTTAAAAGTACTTCACCTCATTTAAAGGATAAGAAAGATGAGACTTAACGCTAGCCAAAGTAGAAATTTATCTCCTACTTGTCCAGACTATTTCCTAGCAGCTTTTGGACTATATCACTTGATGTTATGATACTGTTTATTTGTAATAAATGTTCAAATTTCTGTTTAGAAGCTCTAATGTACATCTAGATTATATCAAAATATAATTTTATGTTTTTAAAATACATGTATTTAAAATTATAAATTTTAATTTCTGAGTGCATGTTATATAGTGTTCTAATACTTCATGTCTTGGAAAACTCAGTATTTATTCCCACATGTGACATATTCCTGGATAGCTCTTAAAAATTATGAATATGTGCCATTTCCTTCAAAGTGACCCTAGCATATGCTGTATCAGAAGTATTGTATATTTTATGAAATTTAGTGATATACATGTAAATGTTTTTTAAGTTATTTTATTGAAGTTTAATCTTTACATAAAATTTAAATCTTTTTTTAAAAAACAAGTGTCAGTGCCAGAACTGTAAATGGAAGTAATCAAATAAAAGTTAAATAATTCATTACTTGTTTCTTTGCACTTTTTTAGTTTCTCTAGTATTTCTCTTCCTTCGATTTTAGGTTCTATAGTTAAAGCATCTACAGTCTACCTCTATATTTTAATATAGTCCTACTCATATTTTTTTTTGGAGAGATTTTTGCTATAGGGCACGTGCGCTTGCCAGCAGAAAGACAGAGAGACCAAGAGACAGAAAGTGGGAAATCACCCCCCAGGGAGGATGGCCATGCCGCAATCCCTTCTCCTCCATTCTCCCCTTGGGATCTTGGGCACGCACACACACGCGCCCAACATGAGCTTACGCCACCAGGTCCGGGACTCGAACCACGGTCGACTACATGGGAGTCCAGCAACATAGCCATTACACCAACTGCTGGTCCCCTGTTATTTTTCTTCTTGATTGTAAGTGAATTCAGATTATTTTTTACAAAAATATTTTATAATGTAAAAATGTTCCAAGGAATTATTCTGAATAGCAAGTACAAAACATCAAAATGTGATGCTTAGGAAACATTTCTGGTTGTTGTCAGAACCAAATATTAACATGAATTTTTAAGTCAGTTATCAAAAGTTATTTTGGGTTGTTACTTTGCAAGTGAAAACAAAATGCCTGCTAGATGGTCAGGTGATAGTTCCTTTTGGAACCCCGTTGCTCTCCACTGCCACTTTGCTCCAACCATAGCTTTTACTGGCGAACACATACTTGTTTGCTATGAGAATTTGCTAGACTTGTTTCCATAGTTAGGTGTATATCCTCCTGAGCCTAACCATGAAACGGCCTTGGTCATTCAGAGGCTTACAGTATGGGTTGCATCTAACCAAGGATTGTAATGCCAGCAAATAAGATAAAAACCTTACAGCCGAATTGACCCTTAAAATGCCTACAAATTACACATAAGTTGTCCACTCACCTGAATATTGAGCACTGTGCTTATCTTTATCAGTGATCAGAAAAGCCATCATTTAATTGTCCATCCTTTGCTAGATACTAAAAACTTAAGTTCAGTACATTTGGAAACTTACCCTAGATCACACACTGGGAAGTGTTACTTTCTCTGCAATGACTACTTCAACTTCTTCCTCTCTAGGTCCCCACAAGGAACATTATTTTGTTAGACCTAGACAGATAGGTTATAAAAATAAAAGGACATTATGGAATTTTTGTGTTATAACTTCAGGAGTATACAGAAAGTCAATGAGATACC